AGGGGATTTGAGAACATTATACAAATATATCCGGGGCCAATACAAACCATCAGCAACTAGATGCATACTTGCAAAAACAGAATATTCAATATATATTCACCCTATGTAACTATGGATGCTACTCTGCCTCCCAGACGGAATTGGGGACCTCTAAGGATTGCCTGGACCCATCTGCACATTGAGTGCCTGACCGGGAAATACCCTAAAATGCTCTGGAACTGTTTGCTGAACTGGAACTGCACTATGATGCGGTAAACCTTTGATCAGGTTCAGAAAAAATCAGGATCCCCATTTAATGAGATGTGGACAAGGCAGCCACACACCTGAAACTCTGAGAAGAAGAGCAGTGACCTGGTCAATCCAGGGATATATAATATGTGGGGGTACCAGCTGACCCAGAGTCCCAGGAATCCCATTTTGTTAGATTTGGAAAAGCAGCCGTATGCTTGGAACTCAGAGCCGGATTGGAGAATGGTCGCAACCAACTATTACTTGGGCATGGATTCTCAGATTAGGGCTCTTTTTGACGCTCAGAGGAGAGCTATCCTGGGATATATAGAGTGTGTGGGTTCTTTCCAAAGATTTTTTTGGGGGGGGACATTTTTGTACATTTTGCCATAACATTTAGAAGGCACAGAAGGGAGTCTGGGGATGTTGCAATCAAGACCCCAAACATAGTGGTGCTGGGGTTGAACTGTTGTAAAGGCCATTAAATATAGTACTATTGTGAATGCACACATGCATTTGTGCATAGTGTCAGTATGTGACTGCAAGTATACATTTGTGTGTGAATATAGTGCAAATATAATATGATATAATGATGATATATCTCCATTATACTGTGGCCTCCTCTTGTCAGAAGGTTATCCCTTTTCATTATTTCTTTTAGTTTTTGAGTTTTTACAAAAAACAATGTTATTTTGAACACAATGTTTTGGTGCACATACTCAGTGGAGAGATTTTTTGGTCAAGCTTTACCTAATTCTGCCCATACACAGTAGTCATGTACTTATTCCTCAGTGTGAGAAGTGGCTGATATGAGGAAAAATCTAAGGGGGACTGTTGAAAGGTTGATTAGGAGTGTCGATACAAGATATCGTCAGGAGAGATATATGACCTGACTTTCCTGATATCTATTTGTAGATTCTAGAGCAGCAAGATGTATTTGTGTTTACAGAGCTTAGAGATTGTGTAGACTGCACTTCTTTCCCCTGCAGAGTGAAAACCGCTACGTAACTCAGCACCCTTCTTTTTTATCCCTCATTGTGCCCTTTTATACCCCTAGTGTGCCCTCTTACACAATCTGTTTCCTCTTATAGTTAGGAGTTACCTTGGTTTTTAACTCTTCATTAAGATATGTATATATATATATGTATATATATATACATACATATAAAATATAATAAAATATGCATGTGTATCTCCATTTTCTCCTATGTCTCCTTATTCCTTTTTTTCAGGTATCATTACACAACCCCAGTACCGAACTATCACAGCACAGCTTCGATGTAAGTATAACACCACATTCAAGACATCAACCTGTATATCAAAACAAGAGTTTTAGTTTTAAATAATTTTAATTTTGCAGTATACCATACATTTCATGTCCTTTCATGTTGCCAGTATTGCTTTTTTTAAATCTATAGTTTAATTGCTTGTGCAAAATGTGGGTGGATTAACAATAGATGGAGACTTAACACCTTTAACACCCATTCCTTTATGCCGTTTATGCAAATAAGGCAGAAAACAAGACATTCATTGTTGTCTTCATAATGACAATCAGATTTTTCCTTAGATCAACAATCTGTTCACATACATTTTAATTATTTTTGAATAAACGGTTTTTGAAAGAGAGAGAAGAAAAACATCTTTTTTAAACAAATCTATAAAATCTGATTTATCAAAGTATCTCTAAATTTCTCAACCTATTTAGGTAGGAAATTCCACATATTTATTGATCCTACTGTACAGAACACTTTTGCGAGAACACCTTTGTTCTAGTCTTAATGGGTGACTTTGTTTTTGTTATATATTCCTGCTAATGAACAGTTTAGCACAGTGCTAAGGCTCATTTTTTTTTCTAAAGAAAACAAATTCAGTTTTTTTCTAGCCTTTTTATTGTAGCTCACCTCTGCACTTTTTCTAGTTGTCAATATCCTTTTTTAAAACTGGTGCCCAAAATTTCACTACACATTTAGGGTGTTTTGTTTTACCATGAATTTACAAAGAGGGAAAATTATATTTTGATTACTTCAATCAATACTTTTTTATACAAACATGACCTTACTAACTTTTGCAATGGCAATCCTAGCCTTGTTTATTTATAATTGTTCCCAAGTCCTTTTCATGTGAAGTTATCCTTTACCCATCTCTATTTAATGAATAAGTGGCTTGTGGACTCCTTATTCCAAAATGCATGACTTATCTGTACTGAATCCCATCTGCTATCAGCCTGCCCAGTCCTCTGATTTATCCAAATCCCTTGGTAGAGAAGTTATATCATGTTCAGACTGTATTATCTCCCCTAATTTTGTGTCATCTATAAACACTGACACATGCCTTTCGTGGCACACTTCAACATCGTTTTAAAGGACCACTATAGGCATCCAGACCACTTCAGCTTAATGAGGTGGTCTGGGTGCCTGGTCCAGCTAGGTTTAACCCTTTTTTCTATAAATATATGGGTTAATGCATAAATGGGTTAATGCAGCCTCTAGTGACTGTCTCATTGACAGCCGCTAGAGGGCTTCCGCGCTTCTCACTGTGATTTTTGACAGTGAGAAGACACCAGCGTCCATAGGAAAGCATTGCGAATGCTTTCCTATGGACTAGCTGAATGCGCGCGCGGCTCCTGCCGCGCATGAGCATTCAGCCGAAGAGGAGGAGAGGAGGAGGAGGAGAGCTCCCCGCCCGCTGCTGGAGAAAGAGGCAAGTTTAACCCCTTCCTCCCCCCAGAGCCCGGCGGGAGGGGGACCCTGAGGGTGGGGGCCCCCTCAGGGCACTATAGTGCCAGGAAAACAAGTGTGTTTTCCTGGCACTATAGTGGTCCTTTAATGTTTGTAAATAGGGCAACATTGTTAGTTATTACAAGATCCAGACAAGTATCTCTTCTAAAACTAAAATTATATAAAAGCTGTGCAATAAGGTAGGTAGAGAAGAGGGGGGGGGGAAACACAGGGGGGGGGTGTAGCAGGAGGGGGATAGGAATATATACACTAAAATGTACCCTTTGAGCGAGTTATTTAAATAAAACCAACATAAACAAAATTACATATACATTATAAGGGTATGCTAAAACGCTAAAATACCAACCAATATCCTAATATAAGTCCAATAAAGAAGCAGGGAAATCCCTGTTATGCACTCATGTACTGACCTGCTCACAAACATAATATACTTACAATAAGAAGGGATGGAGGGAGATAAAATACATTAAAAATCAAATAAAAGTAAAGCAGCATAATCTCATATAGGGGATAAAAAAATAATATAAAATAGTATCCACACTAGAATGATGGATGCAGCATGTAAGGGCTATGGGCCTCTCTTGTGAAGCACTTAGAGGTAGCCAGACACAGATCAAAGTTGCTGCCAGTTTCAGCTATTTTCTGGTGGGATAGGAGAGAGGTCCTATCCAAATTTGTCTGTCCTCCTGCTCCCAGTGAGGGTCTTACAAGTTAAAAGAGCACTATAGTGCCAGGAAAACAAAATCATTTTCCTGGCACAATAGGGTTATTAAGTCCCCTCTCACCTCCCTCAAGGTTAAAATCCCTTCAGCCACTTACCTTAATCCAGCGCCAGGCTCCCTCGGTGCTGGTGACCTCTACTCCCCTTGTCGACGTCAGCTCCAAATGCACATGCGCGACCAGAGCCACGGGCATATTCAAAATGCCAATTGGAAAGCATTACTCAGTGCTTTCCTATGGGGATCAGAACTCATGCTGCGTGTGTTCAATGCAATTTTCTTATTGAGCGTTGCGGAAGCGGCCTCTAGTGGCTGTCAGGGAGACAGCCACTAGAGGCTAGATTAACCCTCAATGTTAACATAGTAGTTTCTCTGAAACTGATATGTTTATAGCTCCAGGGTTAAAATTAGGGGGACCTGGCACCCAGACAACTTCATTAAGCTAAATTCTGGTCTGAGTACCTACAGTGGTCCTTTAACTGCCAAATGTGTTTGCCCATATGCAAGCAGGATTTATCAATAGTTTTGTGTGTTACTTCTTTTCCTCCAAAATGTAATTGCCTCCTCATGCATAATGCATGGAATGGGCAGGGGAGTTTCATTCCCCGATCGTGGCATTTTGGTTATCTCTGCCTCCTTCCCTTGAATGCTGATCAGAGATAATTTGTTCCAAATAACTCCAGTCGGACATATTTACTATTAGTTAGTAACTCATTTGGCTCAAACTCGCTGTTCGAGTCACAAATACATATTAAATATTACAATGTTAGTCTCACCAGAGGAGGTATTTAAAAGTGACATATATAAAACCATACTCGGGGACACAGATAATACATGTAAGGGCATCAAATAAAATACTGACATTAAAGGCACTCTAGGAATAACATGTAGAGTTTCACAAATACATTATGCTTTTACACATACAAAGGTCGTAAAATTGAAGAAAATAATAGCAAAAATATAAACAACATTGACAATGGTATACAATCATGTACATATTAGAACTGTATGTGGCATGAATGACTGGCTTAAATGGATGATAAAAGCTCATAGCATAATGGTTATAAGACACAGTATTACACTTTTGTAAATGCTAACGTGGGTAAAAAATTCCAAACGGTAACATTGTAATGAAAGCAAAAAAAGTTTTGTAGCAACAGTTAAAAAAAAGAAAATAGTTTTTACAATTCACAGTGCAAGTATTAAAATTAAAGCAATTGAGCAAATAATCATTTGCAGCAACCAAATCGAAAATCCTTGTAAAATCACTAGTCAATAAATAGTGCAAAGAAATGGAGCTTGAGCTGTTAAATAACCTGCTCTTACGTTTTCTTTAAAACAAAAAGATACCTCTCATTAAGAGTAAAACAAACAAGTATAACAAGTCAATATACCTTATGCACAATGCTATAACAAACAAACATAAGTGACAGACCTAGTGCAAACTGTTATGACGCTATTAAACTAAATACAATCTATAGAGGACTAAAACTCACAAAGAATGAGTGGATCAGGTGCCACTTAACACACTCTTGCACAGGGTGTGATCCAATCTTCCACTGCAATAAAGGACTCACCTACAGCCAAGATCATAGCTTTAAATCTTTATTGCATATACAATTGGTTAAAAAATCACTCCCCAATAAGTCTCCAGGCTGTGACATCATCACATTAAGTGCCACTTTGCCGAACCTGTAAGTTAAGAATATTGGGGCAGGTGTAAGAGGACCACAGAGGGACATTAATAACTGAGCAAGGATTTAGTAACATCTCTGAGGGACCTGAGAGACTGGAGACTTACTGATAAGTGATTTTTAACAAATTTGACAAGGAAGGGTGCTAACTATCATTTGGTCCCCACCTTCCCTTGAAGCTTCTCTCCACCACTGTTGTTACTTCTCCAAGAAGTTGAACAAGGAAGAACAGAACTATAACATAGGTAACAGAGAAGTGTTAGCCGTAGTTCAGGCTCTGAAGGACTGGAGACACCGTCTCAAAGGAACAGCCTCTCTGATCCTTATCCTCACTGACCAGAAGAACTTGATTTGTCCTGAGTTCGTGCTTTTGACTCTGCTTGTCTGTTCACAATTCCTGATCTTCAGTATTTGTCTATCAAATGTGACTTGTATGATTACAATGTTCGTGTACCAGACCCGGCTTGTTTATCGACCTGTTCCAGTCCAATATGCTGGATTAAATTATTTTAATAAAAAATGTGTTCCACTATTTGTTGCATAAAAATCCAGAAATTATCAACATTTCTTCATTATGTATTGTTAGAACCTGTTATTATTATTATTGGTATTTATAAAACTACAACATATACTACAGACAGTGGCAGAACTAATACAGAATGGGGCCCCCGGTGAAATGAAGGTGTCTATTTGTGAATAGTGCATTCTGTTGGTATGGAAGATGCTACTAAGGTTCATGCTCTAGTAATCTCTATTCGGATTATTGTAACTCTCCCCTAATAGGTTTTCCCACAAGTTGTATTGCCCCGCTACAGTTTGTAATGAATGCTGCAGTTAGACTGATTTTCCTCTCTTGTTGCTCCTCACACATCTTCCCTCTGTCAGTCCTTACATCGGCTTCCTGTATCCTATAGAAGTCAATTCAAGGTACTAATCCACACCTATAAAGCACTGACCAATTCTAGCCCCTCCTATATCTCTTCACTGATACACAGGTACGCCCCTTCTAGGTCTCTCCGCTCTGCCTGTCTGCTGCTCGCACCTTGCAGGACTTCTCGCGGGTGGCTCCTTTCTTTTGGAATAGCTGCCTACGACCTTCAAGCTCACCCCTAGTCTTCAATCATTTAAAAAGTGCCTCAAAACCCATCTCTTATAGCCTCCCACAGTAATCTCTACCTCACATACCTGTCCTTTGCTCTCTCCTAAAGGGCAGCACTCTATTCTCTCCTCCAGTTCTACTTCACTCCACCTTGTTTGATTGCTACCTCCTGTCCTGTTGTATTTTACGCCCCACCTCCTATAGACTGTAAGCTCCTTTGAGCAGGGCCCTCTTCAACCTATTGTTCCTGTAAGTTTTTGTAATTGTCTTATTTATTGTTAAATCTCCCCCTTTGATAATATTGTAAAGCGCTACGGAATATGCTGGTGCTATATAAATACCATTAATAATAAAAATATGTCATTTTGATGTTTGAATGCTGGGATGTATGCACATATAGACATATGAGGCCACACACAGTGACACAGAATCAAACTAACACACACATAAACACACATGTACCAACACTAACATACAGATGCAAACATGTATCTACAAACCTACACATAATGACAGATAAAAACCTTAGAAACATAGAATTGATGGAAGAGAACTGTTTATCCCATCTAGTCTGCCCAATTTTTTAAATACTTTTATTAGTCCCTGGCTTTATCTTAAGTCAAGGATAGCATTATGCCTATCCCACGCGTGCTTAAACTCTACCACTAAACTCATGCCTAACCACTTCAGCTGGAAGGCTATGCCATGGATCCACTACCCTCTCAGTAAAATAATGCTTCTTGAAATTATTTTTAAACCTTTGCTCCTCTAATTTAAGACTATGTCCTCTTGTTATGGTAGTTTTTCTTTTTTTTTTCTCCTTTTACTTTGTTGATTCTCTTTATGTATTTAAAGGTTTCTATCATATTCCCCCTGTCTCATCTTTCCTCCAAGCTATACATGTTAAGACCCTGTAACCTTTCATGGTAAGTTTTATCCTGCAATCCATGAACCCGTTTTATAGCCCTTCTCTGAACTCTTTCTAAAGTATCAATATCCTTCTGAACATATGGTCTCCAGTACTACATACAATACTCCAAGTGAGTTCTCATCAGTGTTTTGTACAATGGCATGAGCATTTTTCTCATTCCACTGCTAATACCTCTCTTTACAACCAAACATCCTGCTAGCATTTCATGCCGCTCTATTACATTGTCTGCCAACCTTTAAGTCATTTGAAATAATTACTTCTAAATCCCTATCCACTGATGTTGAGGTCTGTAGTGTATTAAACATTATATACTCTGCCTTTGGAATTGTATGCTTAAAGCAGCACTGTCATGCCGAATCCCGTTTTTTTTTTTAACCCCCCTCCCGCCTCCACTACATCCAATTGACCCACTAGTCACCCCCAAATGCCCCTAAGCCCCCCACATTACCTATTTTAAATCCTTATTTTCTGCCCCGATCTTGATTCAGGGCGCAGCCATCTTTGTGTGGGTAGATGAAGTCCCTCAGGGACACGTCATCAGCCCACACTAGGCAGACTGTGAGATTCCCGCACATGCCCAGTGAAACACCTGGACATGCGAACGGGAATTTCAGCTATTCATTCATTCATCAGACAGGCGAATGAGTGAATAGAAAGATCAGCCGAACAAACAAACACAATGTATCAGTGTATCTGAGTATCAGTGTTTGTTTGTTCGTTTAGTTTATTACAAGGAGGGAGCTACCGGCATGCAGCTCCCTCCTTGTAATATGTAACTATAGAAGCGGCAGGGAGCAGTGCTCCCCACCACTTCATAAGCCCCCCAGTACACCCTCTCACTCTATGGGGGTCAATATGACCCCCATAATAGCACAAGGGAGATTAAAATCTCCCAAATGCCCCTACTCGCTATACCGCGAGTAGGGGCATGTCTACTAAACAGTGAGCAGCCTATGGCTGCTCACTGTTGAAAAAAAAGACATAAATTACAATAAGGGGGGGCGGACCTATTGTCCTCCCCCCCTCCCCCACCCTGAGCGGCGGGTGGGGGCCATGAAGATAATGAGGGGGGGGGACCTACTGTCCTCCCCCCCGGCCCCCACCCCTGAGCGGTGGGTGGGGGCCCTAATAAAACAATAAGGGGGGGACCTACTGTCCTCCCCCCCTGGCCCCCACCCCTGCGCGGTGGGTGGGGCCCTAATAAGGGGGGACCTACTGTCCTCCCTAACCCCACCTCTTGGCGGTGGGTGGGGGGCCCCTAATAAAACTCCCAATAAGGACCTACTGTCCTCTTTCCCCAGCCCTGGTGGGTGGGGCCCTAATCGCTGTGGGGGTGGGACCTGCACCATGCTCCCCATTACCCTGCTGGCGGTGGGTGGGGCCCTAATAAAGCTGGGGGTGCAGGACCTGCTGTCCTCCCCTGCATTACCCTGGTGGGTGAGGGGCCCTAATAAAATTTCAATAAGGGGGGACCTACTGTCCTCCCCAGGCCCCACCCCTCTTGCCCGGTGGGTGGGGGCCCTAATAAGGCTAATAAGGGGACTTTCGTGCCACGTTGCTGGGTTTCGACAGGCTGTGGGGGGACACCTGCTGGTCTCCCCTGTGGCCCCACCCCCTGCTTGGCGGTGGGTGGGGGCCCCAGTAAAACAATAAGGGGGGGGACCTACTGTCCTCCCCCCCGGCCCCCACCCCTGAGCGGTGGGTGGGGGCCCCAGTAAAACAATAAGGGGGGGACCTACTGTCCTCCCCCCCCGGCCCCCACCCCTGAGCGGTGGGTGGGGGCCCTAATAAAACAATAAGGGGGGGGACCTTCTGTCCTCCCCCCCTGGCCCCCACCCCTGAGCGGTGGGTGGGGGCCCTAA